GAAGATAATTTTTAAGAAATCTGTAATAAGCACGTTTCTAAACTATTTTAATCGTTTTTATTTCACCCTTAACGATCCTGTAATAAGCTACTTAATTTGCATATCTGCATGTACCAGATGTGGATAATGTTTAAATAAACAAATATTAAAGATTGTCTTAAATTAAATTAAATATACTTTTTATCGGATTATTCACTAAGGGTGTTTGTTCAGTTTTTTTTCTACAATAATGCAGTTTTTCAGTTAAGTTAATTTGTTCTAATTTTTAAAAAAATTTAAAATTTATTTTAAGACTATATTTTTAGTTCCTTGACAAATATGATTATCCTATTTATTAAGTGTTTTGTAAAGATATTGGAGATATTTATGTTTTTTAAAATTAAAATTGTCATTTTATACAATAAATTATTTAGTGAAATTTTTTTTTTTTTTTGAAAAAATGTATAAATGTTAATAGGTTCATGATAACAGATTTGAAAAATATGAAAGTTTCAGTGATTTAAAAATTTTAGTAATTAATATTTATCTATAAATATTTAAAATTTATAAAAATGGTCAAAGTATAACTATTACTAGATTCAATGTTAAATCAATATTATATTTTTGTAAAACCATTTTTAAAGATTATTGCCATGGCTCGTGAAAATAAAAATTTAAATCATTCAAAACTACTTATTTGAATTTTAAATTAAATACATCAATATTTAAAAAATATCCCCTGAATAATTTTTAGTTAAAAAATGGGACAAGGATATTTATTTGAAAAAAACGAAGTTTAAATCGCTACAGAGCACTTTATAAGTAGTATAACAAATTTCAATGATTTTAATAAATGTATTAATAAATAAAAAAATAGGGTTGTTCATGTTTGAAAAATGATCATACATAATGTGATAATTAGATTATTTCTAACAAACATATAATTATAGAAATTTAAAAATAATAATTTTTTTCTATTTATATAAAAAATAACTAATAAATTTCGAATTCAATGTTTTTAGTCATAAAATAGTGTAAGTGCATTATATTATATATATATTTTCAAATACAGTGAAATACTAGTGATATTTGATAATATTTCGATATAAATAAAATTTCAAACATTTTTATGACATAAAATCAGAAATTGAAAATATATATTCAAGCTAAAAAAACATTAACGCGTTGTTTTGAAATGGTAAAAAAAAATCACTATGTATGCATTATATAAATAAACGAATAAATCATAGGGAGAATTTAGAATTTAAAATAATAGAAAATCCTTTCTCATGAGTTTCCGACGCGCATTACTTTATGAAGCAGTTGTGAACGATTTTGTAAAATGCAATTATAGAAACAAACAAGAGAAAACGTTGTTTTTTACGAGAAATCTGGTAATAAAGTTATTTTTAAAGGTGTAAAAGAAATTGAGAATATATTTAACCTACGCTAAAAAAATTAAATTAAATTAAAAATTAAGGGTTTAACCATAGTTTGTAATGTATACAAAGTATTTAAATCAAAAAATAATTATAGTTGTACAGCTTAAGACCTCTTTAAAACGGTGGTACGTGTTAAGTTAGAGGAGGCTTAAAACAGTTAAAACATACAGCGATATTACAACAATATAATATATTATATTATGTTTATTAACTATATATAACTTAAATAAATTTAGCATGGTTAATGTACACAGGTTTTAATAGAACGATAACATTTATCTGTATATTTATAATCATAAATCGGTTATTGCTTGAGGTACTGTAAAACTAAACGACAAAGTATTAATTTATCATCCCGTTTATCGATTAAGTAATATTGGATAAGGTCGTAAATTATAATTCATATTTTAAAACAATATATTATATCACATTATAGCATTAGAGACCATGAATTTTATTTAAAAATTTATGTCAACATTATAGCCGACGCATGTTACATTAGCTGATGCTATCTGGATACTGTTAAAACTAAAATTATTATCATTATACTATACAACTAGGTATGTACATAATAGAAAATATATTACATTTTACCGTACAAACAACAAACTTCAAAGTATAGTTTATAATAATTAGACAGTGATAACATAACGTGCGATTTTTACAATGAAATATCCGGTTTTAACAATAATTAGAATTTAATAATATAATCGAAAATAGGTGCATATGAGCTGTGGAAACTCACATTCATATGACACAGGATAGATAGGCACTTTTATTATTTGAATAAATTCTAGTTTTGATTTTCATACAAATAATTGTAACTTACTAGGTACTGAACCATTTTTAACTAAGTCAGACAAAGTTTGAAGTATAGAGTTATGTTTTAAAGTTCACAAGTAATTGATTAATATTAAAAATTTCAGCTAGCCGAACTGTATGGATATATCATTATTTATAAATTACGTAATCATACACAATACGTATGTATTATTTATTTCGAATAAACACGGTTAAATAAATTGTATATCGTACACAGAAACTATGGAGTATTGCAGTAATGGCTTAAAACAATATACTGTTTCATCATTTTATGGTATACGAACCAAACAATAATTATGTACCTACGTTATAATATTATAATGATGAGATAGCAGTTGTTACTCATACTAGTTATACAAAGAAGTTTTCAACACACAGTATTAGATAAATGTACATTAAAAAAAAAAAAAAAAATAAAAAAAAATATGTTGATTTTAACGGACGAAAATCCAATAGATAACATTAAAAATGTCGAATTTCATAGAATTTTAATAAATAAATCGAATATCAACTAAAATATAAATTTCAATAATAATAGCGTACCAAGTAAATCAGAAAATTGAATGCTTTAGGAAAATATAATGATAAGATAAAAGCTGAACTATATACGCTCGGTAATAATCATACGTTTCAATTACAATTATAAAAATAACCATGACATAATAATATAATATTTAATTCAAAATATATTAAATCAATGAAAATATAAATATGATATACAAATTTATAATATTAATTATACGGTTAGCATGGAATTTAATTATAATGTGCACTTATATCACGTTTTAATTTCTATACGTTATGTATAATATTTCTAAAAAAATTAAAACTGTATAAATACTTTTCCTGTTAATGTAAATGTTTCTTAACGTAAATATATTTAAAAACTTTGAATCTAAAGTTTATTATTCACTAAAACCTGGAAAGTTAAAATTGTTGATATCTATTGTTTAATTTACATTGGTTTTAAGCTATATATATATTGTATATATTATCTATATTCTATACAATATAAAACACGTACCTAATTTATTTGTATTTTGTTAATTATTTAATATATTTTATGCAGTTTAACGGTAAATGAGTAATAAATTAAATAATACCTTTTTAATATTAATATTTTTATAATTTATTATTTTATACTAAAATATATTCCGGTAAGTATCAGATTCAATATCTTAAGAACATCGTTTTATATTTTATAAATTATTATGATTTATTTTTAGTATTAAAAGAGTACTTTTATGTTTAATATTGGTTTTAGTAAATCGTATCTTTGATAAGGTTTATTTTTATTTTTCAATTATCTATAAATAAATTAAAATTCCTTAGTTACAATCTACTCCTGTGAAGTCAAAAACACGGTATGGCTTTTAACGCAATTGCTGGTTGCGTTGGATCAATATTACCTTTAAACACTTGAAAATCACCATAAAACGAAACATACATGTTACAAAGAATTTGCATATTTCATTCATGAAATGACCTGCTGTCCTCATACTATGAAGATTATAATAATAATAATGATAAAGATAGTGGACCAAAGAGAATTGAAATTAAATCAAAGATAAATATTAAACACCATTCAGTTTATTAAACTTCCAAAATAATTATAAAAAGAAAAAAAAAAATTATTTTTTTATTATTAAATTAATATATTATATTATTAGAATTATTACTATTATTTGAACACAAGATTGTTTTTATTGAAAATTAAAATGTTTTAATTATAAAAATGTTTTAACTCATTGTAATTTTTAATTAAATATACGTAATCCTCATTTTAGTGGTTTATTTAATCTGAAAAAATTAGTCTTCGGGCTTACAGTACATTTTATCCTACCATCAGTCGATTAAGTTTTATTAAATTTATGACAACCAAGAAATTTTGCTTGATTGGAAAAAATAATATTTTAAAATTAAAGGAACAGGCTTTAACTGTTCATATATTACAAAATAATTAAATGTTTGTTTAATAAAAGATTAAAACAACTTATTAAGTATATTTCATAATAATATACAAGAAAGACTCAAATATTTGAAAAACATTATAAATGTTAAAAAGCGAGTTTTGTTATTTGATTTCATAGAAGAAATTAAAAAGAAAAAAATATAATTTGAAAACTTTAACAACTGTTTATTTATTTTTCAGTAACTGTAAAACACGGTTCGATAAGATTTCATTAACGCGATTAAAAAGAAAACAGATGGTTGAGATTTTATACAATTTGAATAACCTAGCCATAATATGATATTGTTCCGAGCATAGTATTTTGATGAGTATTAAAAAAAAAAAGAAAACTCTGTATAATCGTATTAAAATGAACAGGGAATATTACGAGTGTTTATAAAACAGAAGTAAAAAAAAAATAAATATAATAAAAAACCACTACGTTAAACCACGAAATTAAATTTTATTTTATTTGCGATAAGAATAATAACATTTGAATATTTTTTCTCTCTTCTACGGTTTTTAATTAAACGATTTAAATCAATTTTTTTTTTTTTTTTTAATTGAACAGCAAATTCCAGCACAATTTCTTATCATAATAGTCGCTTGTTAATTTCTTTTGTACGCCTAAAGGCTAAAGTATCAGAGCAAATTAATCGATCGGATTTCGTAGCTATATTTCAGTCTACACTATAGACTTTTCAGTCTACGTAACGAGTCCCCGCTGTACGGTACACAGGGTGAATGATCAAATTATTCATAAAAAATAACGGGCGATACGGTAGTAGTAATTAGGTCGCACTCACCGACGACTTGGAGATGAATGTATTGGCTAATGTGTGGCGTGGTGGATATCTGACATTCGTAGATACCCGAGTCTCTGATCTGCGGGTACTTGATCTGGAGAGTCCAGTCTTCGCTTGGCGGCTGGTTGATTGACCGGAAACGCTGGTCGCCAGTGTACGTGTATCGGCCGACGGTAAGCAGGTGAATGTCCCGGTGTCTGACCCAAGATACCTGAAAGGCAAACAGTTAATATAGAGTCACGTATGATATTATGAATGCAATTGTTGCCATATTATGACGTACGGAGATAAGCCTATTTTTCTATTTTTTTTATAACGTTAAATGAAAGTTATACACAAGTTACTTTTATCATGTTAAATGCATTAATAATAATTATCTTTAAAATACAAACAAAACCGTAATATTTTGATAGATATAAGCAGGGCTCGGAAGTTCTAGCAAATGCATATTTTTATTGGTTCGTCCTAGAACATCCAAAGTAAGATACAAATATGTTTCACACTTCTCTGATGTCATACACGAAATTTTATTTTGCTATTTTTTGCTTATTTACGGGTTTTACTGCTATTTTGCTAATTTTAGGTTTTTAGTGCTATTTTTGGGTATATTTTCACATAAATACATATTATAGGAGATATTTTGCTAATTAGGAGTTATAAATGCTGTTAATGGGCATATTTAAGGAAATAAACACATATTGTTGAAAAACTAAATTACCTACCAAACAGCCGCCTACGAATATGTGAACGAAAACAAATTGTTTTATTTTAAGATGGTACGCATCCGGAATAAACGGCCTTAGACCGTTGTTATCGTCGATTAAATCGGACAATTCCTTTAATTTCCAATAATTTAGTTATTTTTAAAATTGTATCAAAATATGAACTGCAGTTTTCGAATTCGTCGTATTTACGTAAGACACGGCGTTATCGCCGTACGTAAAGACCTATGATTTTATTTTGGTTTTCTGCGTTCTGCACTTCTGCCGTCATTTGCGTGTTGCGTGTGCGTTTGATCGTGAACTATCGTATTTATCGTGTTTAAAAATGCCCAAAGTTAAACAAAATTTGTCAAATCGGCTCCAAACCTATGTTAATTTATATGGTCCTAATATTTTTTCAATTGATAAAAGTGTATTATTTTGTAAAATTTGTGAAATCAAAGTTAATTCTGACAAAAAGTTTAACGTATCACAACATATAAAAAGTGACAAACATATCAAAGGCCTTGCCCGATATGAATATCAAATAAATCGGAAACAACAACAGTTATTGACAGCGACAAGTAATATAAGTAAAAAATCGTCATTTAACAAAGATTTGTGTGAGGCTTTTATTTCTGCTAACATTCCTTTGAACAAGTTAGAAAACCCAAAATTCAAAACATTTTTGGAAGTATATATAAAAAATGATATTCCGAGTGAATCCACGTTGCGAAAAGGATATGTGGATGATATTTACAATGAGACCATGGATAAAATTAGGAAAATAATTTCTGACAAAAAAATTTGGGTCAGTATCGATGAGACCACTGATGTACAGGGTCGTTACATTGCAAATGTAATAGTAGGCACTCTTGAGGAAAATAATGCAGGCAATATTTTTTTACTTAATTCGGAGGAACTAGAAAAAGCTAACCACTCCACAATCAGCAAACTTTTTGATAGATCAATGAGCATATTATGGCCGACTGGTATCCAACATGACAATGTACTTTTATTTTTATCCGATGCTGCACCTTACATGGTTAAATCAGGAGAAGCACTAAAAAGCCTTTACTCAAAAATGATTCATGTAACATGTGTTGTGCATGGACTGCACAGAGTCGCAGAAGAAGTTAGAAGTCAATTTCACGTAGTAGATAAAGTTATTTCAAGTGTAAAAAAAATCTTTAGAAAAGCCCCAAGTCGTTTACTTGTATTTAAATCGGAAGCGCCAAACTTACCCTTACCTCCGGAGCCAATTATCACACGTTGGGGAAGTTGGATTAACGCAGCAATTTATTATTGCGAGAATTTCGAGATAATCCACCGTGTTATTTTTATGCTAGACAGAAACGATGCAGTTAGTATTAAAGATGCTCAAGATAACATCATAAAACCTGGATTGAAAAACAACTTAACGTATATTAAGTCGAACTTTGCCAAATTAATTTTGGCTATTGAACAATTACAACAGCAACATATACCTTTATCGGATTCACTAAAAATAGTTCAAGATATTCAAAAATCATTTGAAACATTAAGTGGTTCAAGTGGAAAATCTGTTCAAAATAAATTTAATCAGGCACAGGAAAAAAATCGTGGTCTCTCGGCGTTGGTAAAAATATCACAAGTTCTAACGGGTGAAGAGACATTCCGAAATTTAGATGGTCTTCCTGAAGACTTAAATTGTAACGACTTAACATTTTTTAAGTACGCACCCCTGACGTCTGTTGATGTAGAGCGGTCATTCTCGGCATACAAAACTCTACTATCAAATAATCGTAGATCATTCAAATTTGAAAATATAAGAAAACATCTTATTATTCAGTGCAATTTTTAAGGTAAATAAAATTAATACACTATATTATTCATTTATTAATAATATATTATTCATTTATTAATAAATTGTTTTATATGTTTATGTTAACAGAAAATGTTCCAGAGCCGGAAAAGTGCCTACTTCTCAAATATTTACTATATCATATTTTATAAAAAAAACTTGTATAATTTAAAAAAATTTTAAATAAAAAATTTTATTTTGCATATTTTCCAATTTTTAGTGCTATTTATAGCGCTTATATTAATGTTTTTATGTGCATATTTAAGCGCTAAAAATCATTTTTTTTAGTGCTATAACTTCCGAGCCCTGGATATAAGTAATATACACGAAACAACTTAATATTTACAATTAAAAATTATTGTTTATTATTTTCAAACATAAACATTTTTTGTAGAATGAAACTCATACGTTCCAAACGTGTATACTGTATATATATATATATATAAATAAATTATCTAATCGCTAAAAGTTCGTTTGTCTTGAGTTTGTCTTCACGACTCCAATTCACTAAAGATTTATAGTAATATTTATAAATGCATGTATTTAACCATCTATATCAACACCACCTATAAAAATAACTACATAGATTTCAGTTACAGTGAAATTTGTCTTGTTGTTGACCACTAGCTGAATTCCCTACATATCAACTGATTGATACTAAACGTTACGTTTCCATAGGATTTCGTTTTTACTATTTATTATTTAAAATCAATTTGTACTAAGTTTTAATACGAATCACGGGATATTCTAGAAAATAATATAAATTTCTGAAAAAATAAATTAACTTCAAGTCCTAAGAGCTCAAAACAGTGTACTTTCATAATACGATGTGCTTAAATGTTCTTTTTTATAAATTACAAAACAAAAAAAAAAAACAAATTTAAGAATAATGGATTAAAAATGTATACTTTAAAATCTGAATATTTTTGCAGAATAATAACCTAATGGCTGACGTACGAGTTATTTTCACACTGTTTGATTTATTATTCTATTAGTTACATTTTTCATTTTTCATTTTTTTTTTTTTTTAATTATTTTGTTATGCATTTTATATGTATCTGACCTATTCAGCACAACATGATTATTACAACACTATCATGAAAATGTTTAGGGGGACGTGCACATTCAAATTTTATAGTCACGTAGAACTCTCGAGCAAAACAGTTTAAAAATATAAATCAATTTTGATGTCAAAATAATACGCATCAACTCTTTATAACGCTCATAACATGCGAAAAACAATTGTATGTACCTACATATACCATACTCCATCAATTGCGGTACGATAGAAACGCGGATTTGTAGCTGGACAATCGTCGCATAGCTAAATTACTTTGAAAAATAATGCAAAATAAGTGCACTTGAAATCTCAGACCCGATTATTTTTGTATAATACGACGTACTAATCTCTCGACTTCCGACTCCAGTGTAGAATATTACGTATAATATAATACACGAGCACGCACTCGCGTACCTCACACGGACGGGACACGAATGTAATATTTTGACAGGCATCGTCACCACTGCAAATGTTTCGAGGAAATTAACCAAACGCAACCCGTTTAATAACCAATTATACAGTGCGTGTAACACGTATGTGTCACAGCCAGGTAATAATAATAATAATAATAATAATAATAACAATAATAACAATAATAATACAATCGCATATTTGTATGTTAGATTAAAACTAATTGTGTGACGTATGTTCACGTTATACGTTTTGTTTTGAAATCAATAAAGTGCTTACGCGTATTTCCACATCGTAGGTGTTGTATTGATATTAATAATTTGTAATAATGTTTTTACGAGCTAAAAAATACACATTTGACATTGGTGTCTGATTCCAATTGTATGAAATGAAATAACAAAATATTATCGGCAAACGATTAGTACGTCGGCGGAAATGACCTAAAAATTTTGAGCGAAAATTAAAAATGTACTCCATATCCAGTTAACATATTTCGACCGCTATGCGCAAGACTCGAAGCTTTTAACGACTAAAATCGAACTATGTCCGACACGTCGTACGTACGTGTTGGTCGATACTGAATTTATGGCTCAGTCGACTTCATTATGAAATCATACACGTTAACGGTTTCGTTATTTTAAACCTAGGTAATTAAACTTTCCCTGTTAGTCATAATTCTTGTAAGCTCATTAATTTTAATGTCTTATATTATTTTACAGGATTTTTAACTTGATAGCTCCTGTATACACGATTTTATGAAATTTTCAAAATTGGCACTCCAAACCGTCAGTGATGAACATGTTACGGACTATTTTAATGCCAATGCTATAATACTGTGCCCATAATTTTAGAGTAAATACCATATTCAATACCTTGATGTATGATGTTTCCAAGTTCCTAGTGATTTGGTAAATCTATGTCGTTAGTCTCGTGGAAAAACACAAGCCAAAATAAAAGAGAGACGCGTTATTTATTCCCCGGCGCACACTTGCATTGACGTTAACAGAAATCCATACAACAATGAGACCAAGTAGAAAAGGTACATTGTTTTTCTCTTTATAATATAATAGGTACCTTATATTATGCTTTTCTGCGCGGCGTGTGTAGGTATAATATTATAACGAGAAAGCTACAGAGAAGGTAGTTTAAGTTAATTACTTATTTTTAGTTGGCTGTGCGCAATAAATTTTAAAATC